CCGCGCAGCTCCACCTTCTCGTTGCGGGCGTGCAGCAGCAGCTCCGTCATCACATTCTCCACCGCCTTTGCGTTGCGGCTCGTCATCTTCACCAGCACGCGCTGCGTCTCCTGCACAGGGGCCTGGTCCTTCTTAACGTAAGCCATTTGCTCGTGATCACACCTGCGGGACGCAACGCAAGGGGGCGAAGCAAACAAGTCAGAAACAAAAAAACAACAACAAACAGGCAGAGAAGCGTATCGAGAGAGAGGGGGCGGGGACAAAAAGGCCCAGGGAGCAAATAATGAAAGGAAGGAAAGACACAATCAGTGCGCGGTGGACGGCACCACTATTGGGCAGCTCTCTCACGGTGATATCGCGGAGTGTCTTTTTTCTTTTTTTCTTTTTGTTTTCCTCCTGCGATTTGCAAAGAGATGCTTAAACAAATGTTTTCTTCGCCAGTTCGTGCGTCATGACAGGGTTGGGGGAAAGAATCTGCTTCAGATCGGCTCCTGGCGGTATAACAACCTCGGCGTCCCGCACAACTGCGGAGGGGCGCGTGGCGGCAGCGCTCTCCTCGGCGGGCGGTGCCAGGAACTCCCGCACCACAAACTCCCACCACTCTCGCTCGCGTGGAATGTTTGCCTTCTGGGAGTGGCGCATAAACCTCAGCAGGGCGGCGTCCGAGTACATGTCCCACGGGGCGAGGCGCAGCGCGTGAAGAATGCGGAAGGTATGGATCAGAAACGCCTTCTCGGCCCCTTTGCGAAAGATGCAGCGCCCCAGGGCAATGCGACGGCCGTAGAGCTTCTCGTCCAGGGGGAGCTCCATCCAGTAGTTGTTGCAGGGAAGGCGCAGACGGCCGTTCCAGTGCTGGGAGCCCTGGTAGTGCTTGATGTGCGACCACTGCTCGCCCCCCGTCCAGCCCACAGTTTGCAGGTACGTCTGGAAGAGGGCCCGGAGTATTGTGCCCGCGTCGGGAAACCCCAACTTGTGGCATGCCTCCGGCTCCACGTCTTTGACGACGTCGAAGTCGGCGGCGTCGGCCATGATGAGGTTCCACACGTCCTGGTGCGACGGAACTCGCGTGGTTGCGCACCCCGGCACCTCACGATACCCCGGCGGGGAACGGATGTTGACGCAGCTGCGCTGACCCCCACCGGCATCGCTCGCAGCACGTGGCAAAATCAGGCCAAATTGTCTTCGCACCGCCATCAGCTGCTCCATCTGCTCCTTGTTCTGCGTCACGGGGATGTTGAGGGCACACAGCGTGTCAACCGCATTTAGTGCGGCGAGCTTGCGCGCACTCTCCGGGGTGGCGCCAATGGCGCTCCCCCCACGCACGCCGTACGCCTCTGGGAGCGGCAAATAGATGCTGCACCGGAACTGTGCATTCTCGGCGTAGACGTAGTTGACGTAGGCGGACTCGTATGGGTGGCGCTGCTCCACCATAAACCGCCGCACAGCCGACAGGGACGACTCCAACAGTTGCTGATACAGCGGCTGCGCGCAGATGTCCACCTCAATCAGGTGCTGGCGAATGTCCGCAACGACGCGGCGATTCAAAGCCACCAGTTTCTCCGACACACTCATTGGGGCTCCCCGCTTTCGGGTCTTTTTGATGCGGTGCCATTGCTTCAGAGGTTTTGGCAACAGCGCCCGCGCCTCGTCGTCCAGCTCCCGCGGCAGTGGCGACACCAGACGACCATGCCGCAGGCAGGCATCGTAGTGCTTCGTCTGCTCCGCCACGTTGGGTGACAGTGGGACGCCGAGGAAGCCCAGCAGCAATTCCGCATGCATTGCGCACAGCGAGGCGGCGTGGGCGACACTCAGCGCCTTGCCCACGGCGCGCAGCGAGGGATAGTACGGGACGGGGGCCGTTGCCGTGTACCACTTCAGGTGCTTTTTGCAGCTTGGACCAAAACCTATATCCACCTGCGTCAATTCCTCGTCCACGCGTGTCTCAACACATGCGTCAAACTGCACCTGGAGCCGAGACCTGTACAAGCCATCGATGCGCTTCGTAGCAAAGGGATCGAAGAGGCAGACGAGTCCGGGCATTTGATCGTGAATCCACCAGGTGCCCTTTTCGCCCTCGACCAAGTCAAATATGCCGCCTTCACTTTCATCAATGAAACCCGCGACGCGGTGCTCGTTTAACGGGCGGGAGTTCACCACCGCCAGGCGCATCGCCGGACAATTGGAAAAGGGTGCCGCGTCGGATCTGAGGACGGGGTCTGGCAAGGCAGGGCTCGGCTGCAAGAGCTCCACCTCCGCCGGGTCAATGGTAATGGGCGCGCCCTCCTCATCCCCGTCGTCCATCCCTGACAGCTGCGTGTTGTGCCGAAAGATGCGGGCCTGCAGGTACGCGAGTTCCCCGGCCACCCCGCGCAAAAAGGGATCGCCGCCACAGCGGCGTGAGAAGTCATTGTATCGTCGTTGCGTGGTATGGTAGTTCGGTTGGTAGCTGCGCAGCGCCGGGTAGCAGCAGACCCCCGGGGCCCGCTGCGCCGACGCACGCCCCGCATCCGCGCTTGTCCTCGCGTCCCCGCCGGCCTCCGCCTTGAACCAGACAGGGAACGGAAGTTCAGAGAGGCGCACCTCCCGCACAGGGTCACCCGGCATTGGGGCGTAGCGGCCATCACGTTTTGCCTCCTCGGCCCGCTTGCGCTGCAGTCGATCGGAGGTAAAGAGCGGGATCCCCAACGCGTCCAGGCAGCGCTCAGCATGCACGCAGGCGGCAACCACGGCGTCCTTCTCTTTTTGGGCATACCCCACAGTCCGCAGGTTGGTGCGTTGCATGGCGCCGGAGAGCAACGCCTCTACTGGCAGCAACATCTCCGCCTGATAAAGTGCCTTGTCTGGCGTTTTTGTGATTAAAAACGGAGACGCCCTCCGTGCGTTGTCCTGCTCCGCAGGGAGGTGGCGGCTCAAATAGTTCAGTATGCGCGACTTGGCAAATACGTCCAGCGTCCTCACGAGGCAAACGTCTTGGGCGGGCTGTTGGTCTGCCGTCTTCTCGTCCGCGATGGCGGGAGCCGCCGTCGGGGACGCGGTGGGCATCGCCGTCTTGTACGCGCGACGGCTGCACGCGAGTGCGGGGCAAAAGAGGCGCGCCGCCGTCAACGTCCCCCTCCGCCGCCCCCGCCGCGCCGCACTCCCAGCCCAGGCACGGAAAGGGAGACTGCGGAGGCAAAGCGAGTGCCCCCTTGCAGCATTACTGAGCGACGTTAGACGCATGTCAATGGCATCACCACCCCTCCCCCTCGTTTCTCGCGCTGTTTGCAACTGCTGCCGACCGCCAGAGGGGTCCTCCTACTCACTGCCAACACAAAGGAGGAAGAGCATGTATACATATACATATGTGTGTGTGTGTGTGTGTGTACAATAAGGAAAGAAGAGAAGGGAGAGGTCGCCATTTTATTTGGGGCAAAGCCCACGGTTCACCGCCACAAAGTTTCTTCTCGGAATGAACAGCAGCAGTCGCACTGAAAACGCGTTATTTGCCGCAAGTGCAGAAGCGGAGTAAACGCCCAAATAAGGAGAGTCAGCAGATATTCGGGTAGTACAACAGTAAACGTGGTGGGGCCTCATGGCGTGCAGTGGCAGCAAACATTCCAAGGCCTCTCGCTTCCATCCATCGCTCGCGGACGCCCTGCAGGCGTGCGCCATCCACGCGGCGCCCATGCACCACAAGAACAACAAAAAAAGAAAAAGAAAAAAAGTAAATCGGAAAAAAAAACACTCAGATATACAGCCACAGAAAAATATCCCCATAATATGCGCCTGGCTGAGGCCTTCTCACGCATTCCTTAAAAAAAACACACACACACGCACAGAGAGAGGCAGGAGAGGTACCGGGGGCAGTCAATGGAGGGTTGCAGCGTTGGTTCCATGTGCACCCCCGTGGCCCCTGCAGGAATAAAAGCAACAACGGCACCAACAAGAAGAAGTGGTCGTTGTGGCAGAATCCTTGATTAACCCGCGATGGTTGCCTCAGCTTCCCCGTTTGTGATTGCTGCCCCTGTTGGCGGGACGATGCGTAGTCAGCGGGCAAGGGCCCGCATTCCGAGACGGCGTCTGACGCTTTCCAGCCCTTTACCTGTCACGCTCAGCTCGTCCCATATGAGGTCGCACACGCAGCGCTCTGCGCAGAGGAGCAGGTTGGTGTCACACCCGCCCAAGGCGGCGAATTGGACGCTCAGCGCCTCACCGTCGGCTTCTGCGAATGCCTCCTCACCGACCTTCAGACTAAGCAGCAGCGCGGCGGCAAGGAACAGCTGCACGTTCCAAAACTGCAGACTAAACACACTGCTTCCAGCACACGCGTAACACAGGGAATCGTCATCAGCGACGTCCGACACAGGCCCCACTGAGCGCACCTCAGACGACATGGAAGAACAGGGAGGGACATAGTGGCAGTTGCCGCTGTGCAGGCCAGCGGCATAGACGTCGGCCCGCCCCTCGGGGAAGGCAGAGCCTTGCGCGTCCTCGCTCCCACGCAGGTCACTATCCTCACTACTCCGTCTGCACTGCGAAAAACTCCGCAAGGCAATGATGCCCTTCTGCTGGACCAGTATGTTTCTCGTCTGAATGCGTTCCAGTATCCAGAGGCAATGCAGCATGGTCTCCAAGCTGCAACCAAACTGGTGCTGAGCCTTGGAAAACAGGCCTGTGATGTACTCCTCCAACGTGACACCGAGCTGCGCGCGGGAGCTGCACAGCCGGCGCCCCATCGGGCCCAAAGGAAAAACTTCAGCCGCGATGGCCGCCTCGAGCGCCGCGGTGGTTGGCGGCGCCACAGGGACACCGCCGCGGTGGGCGCCAAGCGGCAAGCAAAAGGCGGAGGGGTCAAACGCGTTGAGACAGCCCTCGTGACTGCAGACACCAACGGCAACGATGTTCTCGACAAACGCCGTGGCTGACGCCATAAGTTGACTACTTGACGCCATCAGACAACCACTTCCACGTAAGCGATAACAGTCGCGGTGGCGGAGCTGGGGAATAAATAGAAAGAGCAAGGGGGAAAAAAAAACTTCCAACGTGACTTCGGGTAAGTTGCAACAGCAACAGGGACGCAATGATATCGACGTGTACTTGTTGTGCCCCGTTGAAGGGGGTCAAGTTCGGTGGCGACGGGTGTCACAGGCCCGGTCGAAAGGGCACGCCCCGCTCCGGATCCAGCTCTTGGGCGTGGAAGCAGCGGAAGTGTGTCGCCTTCAAGTTCGGAAAGACCGCCATCACTCCCACCCCGAGGGGTTTGCCACAGACGGCACAGGGCCGCTTCTCGTCCACGTAAACACACCGCTGGGCAAGCAGGGCACGTTGCCGCTGCGCATCCGCGAGCATGGAGGCCACCGAGTTGGCGTTGACCTCCGCCAGCTGAGCCTGGCTGCAGAGCGTCTGAAACGCCCGCAGAAGATAGGACGATATTTCCGCCACGCAAACCTCACTCGGTAGTGAGGTCATAACCGACAGTGGATTGATGCAGCGAGAGTGCTCATTGAGCACCCAAAGCGCCTCCGAGAGCATCCGCTCCTTACCGGCTGGAGGAACCAGAAGCACGTGCAAGAGAGTGTTGAAGTGCTCATTGAAGGTGCGGCCTCCCTGCACCGCGTAGCTGCTGCTGCCTGCGAGCCACACGGAGTCGTCCCTTCCCACAAACGTCTCCTGTGAATCCGCAGCAGGAGCGGGTAGCAGCGCAGGGTCACTGCACCCGCTGTCCTTGACTTCTCCTTGTGAGGCGCCACGACTCAGACGTTGCAGCTCGCGGGAGTGCTGTTCCACGCAATACCGCACCGCGGCGGCGACGTCGGCTAGCTCGTACACAAGCTTCGTCAGCGCGCCAATGTGATCGCCTGCCTGCTCCATCGCCAGTACCTCTTCCTCGACCATGCCTGCACCGTGCAGCATGGCAAGCACCACATCCACCTCGTAGTGAGGGCTGAGTTGAAGGAACTTCAGCAGCGCCCGACGTGCCGCCCCTCGAACCCCAGACTCCTCGCCTGCCCGTAGCTTGACGGCCGGCGCCTTCAAACCCGCCACACCGAACGACTGCAGGCTGCGGATGATATCAATAAGATTTGTGGCGTAGAGCGTGTGCAGTTCCCTCTGTGTGTTCCCCTCCACAAAAATAAGGAGGTGCAAATAGTCGTGCAGCGGGCAACCGCCGTACCCAAGCAACATCGGAAGAATCGTTGCAGCCGACGGTGGTCGCCGCTGCGGACGCAGCACCGCCAGCAGAGCAGAGCTGATGTCAGCACTCAGCATCCAGGGAAAGTGCTGCACGTACAGCGCCTCGTCGCCGCTCATTTGCAGCACAACGGCAGCCTCGTGTACGAGACGCAGCGCTTGACAACGCTGCAACGCCTCCGAAAACCTGCCGTCACAGGCGAGTACTAAAGGGAGAATCATCGGCTTGGGACGCACGCCATCCTCAGAGACGTAGCGCAGACACTCTACAGGGTCTAGGGTGGAGGACAAAAGAAACATGTCCGCCAACTCATCGTCGGTGTAGGGCACGCATTCCAGCACATAAAGTAGAAAAATGGCAAACTCGACCGCACGCTGCTCTTCCGTGCGACTGCCCAGCCCAACTGAGCGACGGCGCAAAAGCAGTTCGTACATCTCATGGTAGGCCTCACCACTACCCCACGTCAGCGAGGTCTTGGCGTTTAACGCATCGGCAGCTCTCGGCGGGCGTCTCAGCTCCGGTACCAGTTCCAACAACTCCAGTGTGGGCGTTGACGCCAATTCAAAATAGTGAAATGCCTCGGTGTACCGCTTCCCCACCAATGCATGGTGCGCACATACCTTATAGACGCGTCGTAGGTGGATGTCCTTCTCTTCACTGTGCACGTGATCGACGTAGCGCAAAGCACGCTCGTACAGGCCGGCATTGATGTAGAGCGCCGCGATAGTCCTCCTCGGTGCCAGTAGCAGAAGCTGCACGCTGCGGCCACAAACCCCGTAGATGCCCAGAGGTGTGGAGTGGAACTGCTGCGGGGCCCCGTCAAACCCTAAGATCGACGAGGCGGAGGCGGAAGCAGTGAAGCGGGGAAACTCCTCCTCGGCGTCTAACCACGACCGCATCAAAACCCCTCCATCCGCCCTGACGCCAACAAAAAAGGGCGGTACCCATGCCACATCGACGACGGCCTCTGACAGCTGAACCGGCGTCGCCGTTTCAAGGTCCGTCTCCGCCGCGGCATCAAACAAGGCAAGTCGGCCATCACCGATACGAATTACGACGGCGGAGCTGTCTCCGATCCCATGCACGTACCGGCAGAGAGGACCCTGCGAGACGTTCTCCACCACTTCCATTCGCTGCCGCAGGTGCCGAGTATTCACGTCAAACACACAGTACTCTTTCAAGCTGCCCGTGAGGATAAAGTCGCATTGCCAGGCCATGGTTTGTGTGTCTTCCGGCGCCAGGATATGCAGAGGCTCCGTGGCAGCTGCTCCTTGTGCTTCCGTTCCGTTTTGAAAAATCCACGACTTTCGATCCCCGTACTCTACGAGGGCGATCCACTTCCCGATAAGCAGGGCGAGGCGCTGGGCAGGATGCAGTGCGTGGTCCTGACCTCGGGCCACGCAACACACACTTGCGGCTCCAGAAGGAAGAGGAAGCTGCCGAAACAGCCCTGTGCTGTCCAGCCCCCCGCAATGAAGGGCGTCAAGAGATCCATCCGCCAGGACCAGCAGCTGCGGCACGGAGAGCCTGCTATTTACGCTAAGAAACGTGATACCGTGGGAGACGCGATTGTTTCCCTTGTCTTCCACGGCATTCTTGCCGTGGGGTGTTGAAAGGGACTTTTTGTGCAAAAGGGCTGTTCTCACGTCGTATCGCACCTCCTCCTGGTCAAGGCAGGTGATAAAGCGGTAGACATGCAAGGTGCCGTCGGAGCAGCCGGCGTAAAGGAGGCTCCGCAGCTCCTCACCGGGGGAAAGGTGCATGTCCCGCGCCACCGGCTCTCCGCTGCTTCGCTCCACAGGAAACACCGCTGCGGCGGTCACATGTATCTTTTCATGTGGCGTCACAAACAGTGTCTGACGTTCCATAGCTCATCCTCCCCCACTCCCCACACAGACACAAAGAAAAAAAAACCGAGGTCTCCTCTGTGGTTGGGGAGGCAGCCTTGTCCCCCCTCTGGCGTCGATAAGGATCTATTGCTCGCATGCAGGCAACGAAGCCACGTGGTAAGAGCAGGGCCGACAGAAGGAGAAAAGAGCATATAAGCGCATGACACACAGATACACACAAGAAGGTATGGGCGCACAGAGCCCATACGAGTGCAAACAGGGAGGTGCCAGGTGCAACGCACAGACACACAGGGGAACTCTGCACACAACGAAGATCCCAAGACACAACAAGGCGTCTCACTACGAATATATTAGATAAAATCCACGGTGTTTACCTGCAACGTCGGCTACTACACCTTCTCCTTCTCTTTTATTATTCTTGTTGTTGCCCCACGCTCCCTCTCCCTATCCCTTCCCAGGCGCGGCCGGCCAGACGGGGCACCAAACGCGTTCAGTTCCCCACTGCAGAGGGGCAGCGAAGAAACCACCCAAGCACACACACACGCGCGCACCCCGACACACAAGAAAAGTAAAAAAGGGGTAATGAACCCACAGACAAGCAAACACACAAAAAAAAACGAACCAAATCAAAAGGCTTCTTCCTACTCTAAATGCCGTTGTGCATGAAATTCCTACAACTACTACATATACTATAAAGTTCCTCTCCTTCCTTTTTTTTCTCTTTTTTTTTCGTTTCATTTTCAATATATATATATTTTTTCCTCCCCCAATTCGAACCCATCTGTTTCCTACCGCTGGTGTCTTTGCTCCCCGGCCCTCCCCTCTCACATCCACTTCGTTCGCGTGTCGTTCATCCGTCTGCGTGAGAGCGGGGTAAAATAGAGGGGCTGCGCGCCCCCAAACCGCACCCCTTTTGCGCCCTTCTCCACATAACAGGCGCGGCGGCCCCCCTTTCTTCCCCACGCACGGAAGGGAACCACAGCCGAGCAGGCGGCACCCCCAGTTTTGTTGCTGTCTCGTCTTTTCCTGCTAAGTGCGGGCAGTTTCAAGGCTTAACGAAGCGTGGGGAAAGGGCCAGGGCTGTGGCCGCTCTTCTGCTCGTGCGCGATGTCCATCGGCAGCAGCTTGCCCTTACCGGCCACACCGTATCCTGCGTCATGCGGTCCAATGAGGAGCTCATCCTCACGGCCCACAGACTTGACGTACTCTCTCCAAGTGTCGTTGGCCGCCACACCAAGCTTGTTGAGCTCACGATACGGGTCCAGCACGAAGTACTCCGGCGCACGATGGATCCAGCGGAAGACGGGTTGGTCCAGCTCTTGCTTCTTGTTGAATCGCTGCGCCGCAATCCACGGTTTCGTCGTCCAGAGGCCAAGGTTATAAAGCGTGAGGTCCGGATGCAGGAAGCAAAGGCGGTAACAGTACCATAGGGTGTACAGCGTCACGAGGACCGACATGACGTTGCAAGGGAGACCCTCAATGGAAAAGGCCTGAAGGCGCATCTTTTCAATGGTGCTCACTTCCAGCCAGTGGACGTAGCGGCCGTATGGATTGCGGGAAAAGAAACCCGTTGCAAAGCCCTGTGGAAGAACGTTGAAGCGAAAGCGGTAGAGCCAGTGCATGGGCTTGGCCGAAAACCCCTCAAGATAGCCGGTGCTAACGCCGTCGTGAACCGTCGAAACGAATGGGTTGTGGGAAACGGGCTTCACGTACACGCCATGGTCCACGACGTTCGTCCGGGCCATGCCACCGCACATCTTCGTAGTAACGCGAGACATCTCTGCAAGGAACACGTTCTCTACCGCACACACACACACACACACACGGAGAGAGAGAGAGAGAGAGAGAGAAGTAAAGTTATTAGTAAGGATAGAGTA